TAGTATGGTTAATTGGTTATTCATATTCAGTTTTGTCATGCATGTATATATCACTGTCATTGTATAGTTTTTTTTTTTTTTAAACTTAGTAATTGTATAGTTACATCATTGTTTGAATTTATTTCAAACAAGATGTACACCGTAAAGTTTATGACTTCATTTTCTTTGACCATAAATTAATCAAAGTTTATGAGTTACATACTGAAGTATGATCTATCTAATTTATCAAATGTGTTTACAGAAAAAGTTACGATACATAGTTTTCTTAGCATGGATATACGTGTAATGTGTATACAACCATATTTATAAAATTGATACATAGTTTTTATCAAAAACTATGTCTATAAATTATACACATGTACTTGGTCAGTACCTGCGCTGTGTCTGTGCATCAGTGCAATGCGCATGGCTATAAAAATCGCATTTCTTTACGTACGTTCATAGAAACAAATTTTTATTTGCTAATACATAAAAACAAATTTCGCTAGATTTTGTACGCGGATACAAACTTGTTTTATATTAAAAGAAAGGTTATATCGTTTTACAATTTTTTTCCTTAAAAGTACAACATAATATGAAAACCCAAAGAAATTGATACATCAAACCCAAACAACCTCTTTTATTGTATCAACTGAAACATGTAATTGAAGGTCGAACACACGCAAATCAAACCCATGTTACCCAAAGAGATCATCAAACCAACGAATTCTTGAAAAAAGGAAACCTTTGGAGTCGTCCAGAGACTCTCAGCACTCTACATATTGATCAAGCGGGACATTTGAAGCCAGGTGGTGGAGTTTTTCCACAGTCTAGAAGAAGCTCAAGAGCAATAGGGATAATGAGATCGATGTTGAGAAGTTTGGCTTTAATGGTGGTACATAAACAAACGGCTGCGTCTAGGTCAACTAAACCTCCCAAAACCGGACAGCACTCTTCCTTAGCGTGGCTTTTACCAAGTCCAATGTGAATCAAACCACCAAGAACGTCCACACAAGCGCCTAGCTTCAGTGTGTCGATTGGGCAAGTCTCCGGCTTAGGTGGAGTTGGTGTTGGTGGTGTTACAACGGGTGGAGTTGGTGTTGGTGGTGTTATGACCGGTGGAGTTGGGGTAGGTGGAGTTACAACGGGTGGGGTTGGTGTTGGTGGTGTTATGACCGGTGGAGTTGGGGTAGGTGGAGTTAC